GGAGCTGGAGCTCCAAGGTAGGAAGATGGTTTTCAATCCTATCCCTATTTCCTCTGTATGGGGCTTTTTTACATTAGAGGTGTCAGCGCTTTTGATAGTATGGCTTTGGTGCTGATCTGTGTGTTCAACAGAGGCGCTGGGTTGGTGTGTTGCCTCTGAAGAAAGAATGCTCTCATCAGTCAGCACTCGTGGCAAAAAGGCGATGTGCAGCCTGCAACATTAAGTATCCCTCTTCTTCCAAAAAACCACTGGGCCAATCCTGTATGGGGAAGCCAGTGGCGGGTAAATCATCGGGCATGTTTATAAGCCTGATAGACCGTATGAGGGAAGAGATGGTGCTGATACGCCTGACTGCTGCACTTTGCACATTGGACAGTCCTGATACATTACATGACTTTGAGTCCTACACGCTATATGCCATGTTATGCGTTACATAATACTAACCTAGTAGGCCTTTTGCATCACTTCCCACCAGTCTCTGACATCAACTTGATGAAACGTTTGTCCACCCCTCCATGCAAAATTTCTTCAGTTGCAAGAGGTTTGTAGATTCCTTTGCATGAACGGCCCCTTTCAAACCAATGCAAAATTTAAATTAGTATTAAACTCTAAAATGTTTTTTCGATAATGAATCCGGATCAAATAAATATACCTTGCCCAGCAAATCATTGCTTTACTTTTATGCCAAAATACTTATAATTATCATGTCTCCAAACAGCTGCTTCCAAGTCTCTCAAATCAGCATCTGTGACCTTCCTATCCATTACAAGATCACAAAGGACAGTGCGAACTCCAGCAACTGTTCATCTACTAGACTGGAGGGGAGTAGCTTGATTTGCTGTGTTTGTGGAGACACACACAGCTTACTAGCACACACAGGGGTGACTGCATAGCACTCTGCTTGAGAAAGGAGTCTTTCTAAACAGGAAGTCAGGACCATTGCTCAGGGGACCAGCTGATTCTGCAGGAAACTAAAACTGTTCAACATCAAGGAGCAGCATCCAAGTGATTTCATTAGCATTTGAAATCGCCTAAAAACCTTTTGACTTTAATATCACTTTAACTAATCCATTCTATTACCCTCATTTTTTTTAAACTTTTTGACCCATTCCTTTGTTTCAGATCATTATTGTATTGAAACATCAAATTCCAGTTCAGATTTAACTTTTGGACACTCATACTCATCAAGCGCACTTTTATATAATGCAGAATTCATAACTGCAAGCCCCCAAGTCCTGAAGCAGCAAAGCAACCCTTAACTAACATTTCCATCACCATGCTTCACAGTTGGTATAAGGTTCTTCTCCTGAACTGCTGTCGTCAGTTTGCACAACACATGTCTACTGTTACTGTGGCCAAACTACTCTATTTTTAATTTAGTTAGTTCACAGCACATTGTTTAAGGCCTGGGATTTGCCTATACACTGAGTGGCCAGATTATTATGACCACCTGACGTTTGTAGGCAAATTAGCTATAATTTCGCTCTGAAGTTGCTAGGGGGCCAGACCATTTTATATAGGGAAGCAGGTTGTTTACCACGACAGTAGAAGTGATTTTTTTTTTGAAGATATGCGTAAACAACGCTATTTAACAGCCTTTGAACGTGGGATGATTGTTGGCGCTCGGAGCCATGGAGCGAGTATCAGCAAAACAGCAGAATTCGTTGAATGTTCAAGAGCAGCTGTTGGTAAAGTGTTTAAAGACTGGACTGTCAGCCGAAAATCTGGGTCTGAACTGGGAATTGTGGCCGTCAGCGACTAGTCAATGTTAGGGCAGAACGGAGAGTGGCAAGACTGGTACAAGACAACAGTGCATCAAATTACTGCAGATCTTAATCAGTGATCCTCTCAAATGATCTCTGAACGCACTGTTTGCCATACACTGCATTGTATGGGATATGGAAGCCGAAGGCCTGTTCGAACACCTTTGCTGTCTGCAGTAAACAAGATAAAACATCTCAAATTCGCACAGGAACACAAGGATTGGACAGTCGAGCATTGGAAAAAAGTCATGTGGTCCGATGAATCACGTTTCCAGTTGCATCATGCAGATGGCAGAGTGAGAATTTGGTGGGAACAGCATGAAAGCATGCACCCCACATGCATGAGTACAACCCTTCAAGCTGGTGGGGGCAATGTTATGGTTTGGGGCATGTTTTCCTGGCATGATTTGGGCCCTTTAATTCGTGTGGAACAACGTCTGAATAACACAACATACCAAAGTATTGTTGCTGATCAAGTTCATCCTATCATGTTGATGGCGTATCCCAATGGAGATGGTTTTTCTAACAAGACAATGTGCCGTGTCACGGTGCTCGTATTGTGCAGGAATGGTTTCAAGAACATGAGGGAGACTTTACCTTGCTTAGGTGGCCCCCACAATCACCAGATCTCAATCCAATTGAGCATTTGTGGGACGAAGTTGAAAGAGCCATCAGGCAGCTGGTTCCACAACCATCAAATGGTGTCAGATTCCTCGCATCACCTTTCAACATCTCGTGCTGTCAATGCCAAGAAGAATCGCTGCAGTATTGAAGGCAAAAGGTGGCCCAACGAAGTACTGATGGGGTGGTTATAATAATCTGGTCACTCAGTGTATATTCAATGGCAAACTGTAGTCTTGCTGTAATGTTCTTTTTGGCCAGCAAAGGCTTTTTGTAATGTAACAGGCACCACTGGAGAGTTCACAGACCACTTTACCCGATAGTGTTAACATAGATCCAGAGCCATTTGCTGAAACAGCCTGGATCCCAGGACAGTGCCATGGAACCCAGGATCGCTGAGAGGGGTCTGATAGTATGCAGCAGACAGGTGTCATGTATGCACAGTATTTATGCATAATGTAAGGCTTTGGGATGCTATGTGTGTGTAGGTATGCATAATGTGAGGCATTGGGATGCTATGTGTGTGTAGGCATACATAATGTGAGGCTTTGGGGTGCTATGTGTGTGAAGGCATGCATAATGTGAAGCTTTGGGATGCTATGTGTGTGTAGGTATGCATAACATGAGGCTTTGGGATGCTATGTGTGTGTAGGTATGCATAACATGAGGCTTTGGGATGCTATGTGTGTGTAGGTATGCATAATGTGAGGCTTTGGGATGCTATGTGTGTGTAGGTATGCATAACATGAGGCTTTGGGGTGCTATGTGTGTGAAGGCATACATAATGTGAGGCTTTGGGATGCTATGTGCGTGTAGGTATGCATAATGTGAGGCTTTGGGATGCTATGTGTGTGTAGGTATGCATAACATGAGGCTTTGGGGTGCTATGTGTGTGAAGGCATACATAATGTGAGGCTTTGGGATGCTATGTGCGTGGAGGTATGCATAATG